TTTTTTTTTTTTATGGTATTAGGGTTTGACCTCAGGGCCTCAGGCTTGCTCTACCACCTGAGCCATTCCACCAGCCCACTCCTTCATTTTGAGGGATAATTTTGCAAGTACAAAATTGTGAGTTTGTATAGTTTTTTTCTCTTAACACCTTAAATATTTCAGTCCACTTTCCTCTTGCTTGAATGCTCCAGAGAAGTTAGATGTAATTCTTATTGTTGCTCTTCTATAGTCAAGGTGGGTTCCACCCTACCTGCCTTTGGCTTCCTTCAAGACTTTTTCTTTCCAGTTTGAATATGATAAGCCTAGATGTATTTTTTTTTCTTTTTGACATTTATTCTATTTGATGTTCTTTGAGTTTTCGGGATCTATGGTGTGATGTCTGATATTAATTTGGGGAAAATTCTCAGCATTATTCTTCCAAATGTGTCCTTTGTTCCTTTCTGTCTTTCTTTTCTTTCTAGTAGTCCCAATCCATGTATGTTACAGTTTTTGTAGTTGTGTTCTGTCTCAGACATTCAGGGATATTTTTCTCATCTCAAGCTCAAGAGATTTTTTTTTGCTCAGCCATATTCTACCTACTAATAAATCCATCAAAGGCATTCTTCATTTCTGTTAGAGTACTCTTGATCTCTAGCATTATATTTCTTAGAATTTTCACCTCTCTCTTTCATTACTTATCTAGTCTTGCATGTTGTCTACATTTTCTATTATGTCCAATAGCATATTAATCAAGTTGTTTTAAATTCCAGGTGTGATAATTTTAACATTCCCGCCACAGCTGAGTCTGTTCTGGTACTTGCTCTGTCTCTTTAAGTTGTAATTTTTTGTTGAAAGTCACACATGATATACTTGGTGAAGGGAACTGCAGTATATAGAAATGTAGCAATATGGGGGGTGGCATGAGCCCTTGCTACTGGGCTGTGAACTCCATAGTGCCTTTCAACCATTATTTCATGCCCTCAGATGGGTAGAATAGCTAAAGGGGCTGGAGCTGGGTATTTTCCTTCCCCCAGATTGGTTTAGCTTCTGGTAAAGCCCTTTATGTTTCACTCTGGTAAAACAGTTCCTTCTGAGAGCAGGTCTTGTTTAGCTAGGGATCACTGCATATCCATAATGGATATTTTTCCTCTCTCTTTCAAGAAGTATGAGGGGTTTTTTCCTCTGGTTTTTATGGCACAATTACTGGAGGCAAATTCACAAAAATATGGATGATCTCTATAGCTGGGCCGCCTTGGAATTTTAAATTCTCAGTGGTATCCACACCAGTCGTCCACCAATTTGTCAATTACAGTCCAGGCTTTCCTACCCTGTACTGTACCTCCAGAGTTCAGCTGGGAGGGGAAGTCTATTCCAGTAAGTTGCGAGTGTCTATATTTACCTGTTTGTCTCTCCAATTGGGGAGGGGTAGTGGTTTGCCCTGTGACCTTACTTCTCTTACAGGTCTAAGAAGAGTTGCTGATTTTCAGTTTGTTTGCTTTTTATTTGTTTTAGGACCCAGGGCGGGGGGTGGATTCTCAGCTTCTTACATTCCAGATGAGAAAATGGAAATCTATTATTTGTTTGCCCCACAGGTTTTTATAGATACATATTTTTTTTAGCATTCCAAGTGAATGGGATTTGGAGGACTTATCCTTTTTATTACTTATTGCATTATGATCAGAGAATGTTGTTTTCCATGTTCTTAATTTTTTGGAATTCTGTTGATATTTTCCCTGTGGCTTGGCATGTGGTTAGTTTTCTTCAATATTGTGACTATGTCAGGCACAATGAGGTCTTTATGTCTATCAGATATAAGGGTATTAATTTTGTCACCCATACCTCAAGCTCTGTGGCCCACAACCCAATCACTGCTCCTCACCCTTACCCCCAGGTGACACAATAACAGTGACAGTATTGAACTACAAATTTTCCTTTCCTATTGGAGTTGCTGAGAGATGGGCTTCTCTTATGTTACCAGAAATGTTATTACTAGTAAACAGGCAAAGTTCTCATGAGAAAGTTAAAGAAATAAAGACTGAAGAACATCTTATACTTTAATAACCAGTTTACTAGAATGAGTTTCTTTTTCTACTGCCTTCAGCAATACATGTGTTTGATCTCTCTTTCCTGTCTTTTGATGATATTTCAGTTATATGTTACATTTTTTTTGCTTATCTTCAGGTATTTAAAAAGTCTGGTTCAGTTTAATTTTAAAATTTTAGCCCCAAATCCAACTCAAATATTTTTCTCCTCCAATCACCCAGCTCAGAATTAACTTGTGGCTTGGGATTGCAGTGAAGGAGGGGGTGGTGTTCTCTTTACACCCCTCCTTACTTTTCCACCACTCCCCTTACTCTGATGGCTTCTGGCTTCCCCTTCCTTCCCTCAAGCATGAGTTGTCACGCTTGATGAGGGATGATGGGGGTTCTTAAAAAGTTTCTCCAGGGGACTACTATACATCACAGTTTGCTGACATAGGTCATTTGTCATTTGGATGAGTTCTTGGACGCTCATGGGCAGGGTCTTGTTTTATTGTCTGAAGCCTGGTTACCTTCTAAAGTGTCCTCTTGGCTCACGGGAAAGTTATGCATCCTTGACTCCAAATTCGAGTAGTGAGCATAGATCTAACTACCTTCTCTCCTTGCTCTTAGTACAACCTCAGTGGCTTTACTGTTCTCCCCAGTTTGAAAATTAAGCAGACACGGGGGGAAATACCCACCAACATGACGTTATACTTCACTTTCTTCTTTTTCTTATAACTCTGTAATTATCTCATAGGACTGGAACATCCTTGCCCTTGGTTTACCTGGGTTCTGATGAGTTTACCAACTTTTTATATTTAGAGATGGAGGAAATATTGTGACATGGCAAGGGCCAGAATGTTCCTTTGGCCTGCTGTGGCAGGACACTGACAGTACACATTATTTAGACTCTGGTGGCCTTATGTGTCTCTTTTTAAACCTGGGCATTATCATTTGTCCTAAATTTTTCAAATTTTTGAGAACATCAAATGAAATGATCAAAATGGAATCTACTTATATGGTGTAAGTTTACAGATAATCATGACAATTAAAAAATATATTTGGTTTTATGTCTTTAAATTACATTAAGTTGAGAAATTTTATGATTACTCTAAAGTTTTATTCTTCAAGGAAATGAACAAAAAATTATCCTATAAGACAATAGAAGCTACATCATGTCATCTGTGACAATCTTAATTTTAGGAGGAACACTTATTAGGTCTTTGATTTTTCATGAATACTCTCTGTTCTGATAGTGCAGTAACCTAAATGATGTCATGTTTATAGCATGGAATGAAAAGAAGAATGGCTGGGCTCCAGTGGCTCACTCCTATAATCCTAGATACCAATAGACAGAGATCAGGAGGATCACAGTGCAAAGCCAGCCTGGGCAAATAGTTTTTGAGGCCTTATGTCGGAAAGCCCTTCACAAAAAAGAGCTGGTGGGGTGGCTCAAGGTGTAGGCCCTGGGTTCAAATCTCAGTATCGCAAAACAAAACAAAAAAAAGGAAGTATGATGTCTCAATTTTTGTTTTCCTAAAAAATGATTCTCTCAAACATTTTTTTTTTCTTGGTGGTACTGGCATTAGAACTTAGGGTTTTTAGGGCTTTGTGCTTGGTAAGAAGGCACTCTACTGTTTGGGCCACCCTTCTACCCCAAACACTTCTTAATAGCAAACTGTCCACACATTGGCTTGCATGAATTTTCCTTTGATTTGACTTAACGGAATCTTTAGGATTCCTTTGCCACTCTTGTTGCCATAAGCCTTATTATCAGTGTTGCAAAGACCATGACAGCCCGTTCAGTGCCATCTGATTTGAACTGAATCTGAATGCAGTGGGTGCAGTGGCTCACCTGTAATCCCAGCTACTCAGGAAGCAGAGATGGGAAGAATTGAAGATTAAAGCCAGCCTGCGCAAAAAGTTCGCTAGATAACATCTCAAAAAAAGAAAAAAGAAAAAAAAAGGTGTGGTGACTCACCTGTCATCCCAGCTACTGCTGGAAGTATAAATAAGAGGATTGGGATCAAAAGTCCAGGCATAAACCTGAGACCCTATTTGAAAAACAACTGAAGCAAAAATGTCTATGAGTATGGCAGAGCGCCTGCCTAGCAAGTGCAAGGCCCTGAGTTCAAACTCCAGTACCGCTAAAAAACAAAAAAGTATGAATGCACTCAGAGTTAGGAAGGATTTGAACCAGCTTGATCCTTTGGCCTGGAATACTGACAGGAGAGTAGAAGCCAGGCAAGGAGGGTTCTGATCCTGTCTGCCACTGTATGACCCGCAAGTCAGCTGGTCTCTTTGGACCTAAGTCCTTCAGTTATAAAGCCATGGGGTTAGGATGGAAAACCCATAATGTCCCTTAACCAGGATTTCCAAGCTAGGCTTGTAAGAATGCTGACTCCGCAAAAGTAAATATGGTACTGTGTGGTAACTCATTTTAGCTGAACTCATTGTTGAGTTCAAGAAATGGAGGTTTTGTGGCTTGCCCCAACCCCACAGCAAGTGAAGGTACAGGACTGTAAACTCACCTCACCTGCATGTCTAACACAAGTTCCCTGGAATATAAGGAGCCTCTGCGTTGGGGCTTTATGAAATAAAAGATGTGGGCCGCCAAGAAGTATCCCTACCATGCCCTGCTTTCTCTGGGCAAGCCCTATACTCAAGATGTAGACATGTTCTCTCAGTTAATCCCCCAAACAACCCTAACAAATACCTGTTTACTGTTTACTCCTCTGAGCTCAGGGGGTTGGAGTTGCGTGACCCACACCGCGAGACCCTGCAGCACGGCCCCAGGCTCTGTGCACAGGGTGGGGAACAGAAGTCGGGCTTTGTCTCCCTGCTAGGGTTCTCTGCGGGGGAGAAGAGCCTCTCTACAACGGGTGTTCACACATTGTTGGTCCCTGATATCTCGTAGATTGTGTCACTTTGCGCCCACGATAAGTGTGTCCCACTTACCTTATAAGTTCTTGTCTCCCGCTGTATGTAAGGGGGAGGAAACGCTGCAGGAGGGAGCACACTGCACAGACCCCCTCCCCTCGCCCCAAGCCTGGAGCGCTTTCCGATGCCCGCACCTGCGACGCTGGAGTTCCCGCCTCCGCGTCCCTGTGGCCAGTGGGGCAGGGAGCTCCGCCGTTCTGAGGGCGGGTCCTGGCCCTGATCCTGGGGGCGGGTCCTAGAACTCCGGGGCGGGGACAGCAGAATCCTAGGCTTGTAGGAAGCTGACCGGTGGCTTCCCCTCCCCTCGGGTCCCCTGCAGTGCTGCGATCCTTCCGTCGGGTCTCCGTGGCGCCGGCCCCCGAGATGCGTGTCCACCTGCTCCTGCTGCTCACAATGTGCTCAGCGGTCTTGGTGGCCTCGGTGGCCGGGACGCGCAGCTACAGCTTGCGAGGAGAGTGGAGGGTCCGCAGCGGGAACGGCTCCCTGGAGCTGCCCGGGATGGTTCCTGGCTGCGTGCACAGCGCCCTGTTGCAGCAGGGGCTGATCCAGGTACGGTGTGCGCCGACCCGTGCCCCCGGCTCCCGCCGCACAGGCGGGATGGAGACTGACCGACCCGGGCTGGGACATCAGTGACTCTGGAAAGCGGAAGGAAGTTTAGAGGCAGGAACCGTTGTTTCTACCAGCAGTTTATCTACGGCCATGGTTCTTGGCTGAAGCGTTAGGCAGAAGACACGTCACTGACAGGCACAGGCGGGAGGTTACAGTTTAAATCACCTGGACGCTTGCAGGGAACAATAACCTTTGGCCAAATCACATCTCTATGGAGAATAATTTTCTCGGTTTCTAATTTTCGCTTTTTAAAACTTCAGGGGAATTAGATTTGGTGTTGATAAGAATGAGACCTGCAAAAGTCAAACTGGGTTTGTCTGCTGGTGAAAAGCCTAAATATTTATTTTTTGGGGGGTGCTGTGCTGGGGATGGAACCCATGGCCTTGTGTGTGCTGAGCACACTTTGTACCACTGAGCTACACACCCAGCCCTAAAGCCTAGATAGTTTTTAAGGTTGGCTGGGTGAGTAAATGTACATTTTGCTCGGATAAGATGTACTTGTACTTGACGCTTTGGTGGGAGGCATGCATTGTCCCTCCCAATCCTCTTACCACCTCTAAATAGCAGGTGTTCTTATCTTGATTTCATGATGACATGGAGTTATGGAGCCCAGAAGAGTTTGAGAACACAACCAAAACCACACCGAAACTAAGGTGATCGAAATGGAATTCTAACGCAGGTGGCTCTGACTCTATAGCCTTGAATTTTATTCTATGTTCTGCTTATCATGGTGTTTTGAGAACTCAGGTATTTTTGAAGCATGGTGGTTGATTGTCAGGAGTATCTTCCACTTTACTTTAATGATTGGACAGTCCAAAAGCGTTATGCAAAGTTTTTGATGTGGTACTCATTAATTTTTTTCAAGGTACATAGCAGAAAAAATGTGAGTGTGGTAAATGACAATAAGCACGTATTTTTTAACTTCTTTCTTTTTCTTTTTTTAATTTTGTTTATTCATTTATTTTATTTTTTATTATTCATTTATTCACATGTGTGTACATTGTTTGGGTCATTTCTCTCCCCTGCCTCCTTCTCCCACCCTCTCACCCCCAGCACTTTATTTTTCATTAACAAACTCCATGTGACATAGCCCACAGACCTGAGACTTCTTCACTTGCACCTGCTTTGAGAGTGCCTGTGTTTATTCTTCATGGTCACTCTTTGCCTCATTCTATTAACTGAACTAAGCCAATAAGAAGTCAATTATTGTCCCATATTATAGGGCTACATATCAAGAACAAATATTTGGCTACAACTTAATGAGAAAGGTTGCTCATACTATGAAATAACTGACCTTTTCTCATGGGAGTAATTTAAATGACTCTGTACTGTCTTCACAAAGATTCTTAGAAAAACTAAGTTTGAATAAGGTGTATCTGAGCCTTCAGTGGTGGTGGGCTAAGAGATGGGTAGGTTTTTAGTAGTTAGGGAGCCAAGACCCATTGAGAATAATCATTAACATCCGTGTCATTTTGAGTGATATGTTATTGTTGTCCCTCTTGCTTTATTATATTGTTGCTTTTTGGTGTTGACCTCAGGAAACATTCTATTGTTTATTTCCAGCACTGGGCCAAAAGCTGTGTTCATACTGTACTTGAAAGATAGCCTGGCTAAGTCATTCATTCATTTACTCATTCACTTAATTATCTTATAAGTATTTCATCATTACTTCTGATATAGCAGGCAGTATTCTACGTGTTTGAAAAAGTGGTGAAAAACAGACAAAAACAAACAAGACACAGACTTGTCCCAATTACCAAATTAATAGATAAGAAAATTACCATATTAATAAATATATGATGACATGTGGTACAGTGAAGAAAAACAAAGCAAAGCAAGCTAAAGAGATGAGAAGGTGAGGTCTGATTGAAAAGGATTTTTTTAAAGTGAATAAAGATAGCTATTTTGACCTGGTTACCTCTAAGCAGAGAACTTTCTTACATTCCTAACACAGAGGAAATCAAGTAGGGACGGGACAGGCCCTGAAATGAGGACTTGCCTAACAGTTTCCAGGAACATTAAGCAGACCAAAGTGTCTGGAACCCTGTGAGCCATGGACAGGAAGATGAATTCAAACAAACAGTAGATCACCAACGGCTTGTAAGCCATGGGAAGCGCTTTGATTTTATTATACATGTGATGGGAAGCTATTGAGGACTTTGAACTTGGAGTGGCATTAGATTTGTCTTTTAAAACGTCACTCTACTGTTGTGTGAAGACTACGGTGCTTGAGAATGGAAGCATGAGAGCAGCTAGAGGACTGTTGCAGTTCTGTGGACAGGAGACGATTTCTGGCTTGAAGCAGGGTGGTTGGTAACATTAAAATGGTGAGAGGTCTTGTGAGAACACATTTTAAATGTAGAACCAACAGGAATTGTTCAGTTGGATCTGTTGATGGATTGAATGTAAGGAGTAAGAGACAGAGGAGTCAAGGAAAATTTCCAGATTTTTGATCTGAATTGACAGTCGATGGAATTTGTATTTACTGAGACGCTCTGCGACCAACTTTGGCTGTTTCATAGGTGACTGTCTCAGTTTCCGGTAAAGAATCGCTAAACCTATGTGTGTAGGGGTAAAAGGAACTTTCTTTCCACTCCCTTACAGTCTGTAAGGGAGACTGACAAATTGACAGATTGATAGTAGAAAATTCATACAAATTTTATCATGTAAGCAAATGAGTATCACACAAAGTATGGAATTCAAAGAGGCCAGATGTTTGAAGCTCTTCATGGGGGAGTGGAAAGTGAGGACTTCAGACAGTTTTAAAGGAAGAGTAAATGAGTTTTAGGGGAGATGAATGGACCCGACCCAAAGAACAATGACTAGTCTGGTACTAAGTTTGCCAGGGCTCTGAGTGTCCTGCAAATTCTGTTCTTTTTCCCTCCTAGTTAATCTTTTGGAAGATCTAGTCTTTAGGTCAAGAGGGGAACTGCAGAGAAAGACCTTATGTTTTGAGAGGCAAAGAGGGGAGAGAAATGGGGACAGGGATGAAGTGGGGAGGTGGAGGAGAGGTGGAGAACATCAGGTCGACCTTTGCTGTACTTTAGGGTGTGATTTTCTGTGTCCAACAGGTGTCTTGGAAAGCCTTTTGCCCCCTGTTATTTATTTAGCTTACTGTTATGCCAGGCACTAATAGGAATTAGGGAAAAAAAGGAAATGAGTTGGATTCAAGTTCTTAGTTTTCGAGAGGTAATATAGTGAGACAAAAAGCCTAATTAATTACATAAGATGAGACTTTTGTCAGGAATGTTCTCAGCTTTCCTATGTGATTTCTTACTGATGTGAGTTTTGAAAAGCTTCTTTTTTTTTTTCTAAAGTGTGCCAAAATTAGAAGGTACAGATAAAAAAGAAGAGTTGGAAACTGGCTTTCAGAGATAACCACTATTAAAATTTAAAAATATATTATATCCATTGTGAAATTTTCTCGGCACACACATTTATAAATATTTAGATATACAGTTTAGCAACTTTTTATATTTAACTTTTGTAGCACTCTTGCATGCAATAAACATATTTTTACAACCCAGGCTTAGTGGCTCTTCTTTCCACTACTACACACATGTTCTGTCACTTGTATCAGTCACTTATTATTGGATGGTTAGATTTGACCCTGTTTTTGTTTTTTTCGATGATCCTTTAAACTAAATTTTAGTGTACACCTTTAATTTCTTTCTTTTTTTTTTTTTTGGTGGCATTGGGGTTTGAATTCAGGGCCTCACGCTTGCTAGGCAGGCGCTCTACCACTTGAGTCACTCAGCTAGCCCCATCCTTAATTTCTTACGCAAATATTTAGAAGTGGAAGGGTATTTAATTTTCCAGTTCTTACATGAATTTCTAAGTTGCTCCTCATAAAAGTTGTACTAATTGTGCACTCCTGTCATCATTTTATTAGAGTGCTTATTTTAGGTGCTACATATGACTATTATTTAAAAGAACAATTGTAAGAAACCCAATTTATTTTCTAGTGAGGGTAAATAAATTTGCTATGTTTATTTCATATGCTCAGTGGTGATTTGGGGGTGACTTATCCATATTCTTTATTTTTCCACTGGCTAGTCATCTTTTAAATATAGATTTTAAGACCTCTTGCTACATATTTTCAAAAATTTAGCATTTATAAATGATGTATTTTGTCAAATAGGTGTCTTAAGTTTTATGTATTGAAATCCTTTAAGGTGTTTTTCTTTTTTGGTTGTTTCTGTCTTTGATAGTGCATTAGTCCATTTTCCATTACTGTAATGAAATACTAGAGGCTAAGTAAAGAAAAGAGTTTTATTTAGCTCACCATTTTGGAGGCTGACAATTTGAAAGGCATAGTGCTGGCTCTTGCAAACGTCCTGCTGGCTATTTCACAATCTGGTAGGGTGCGTCCTGCTGGCTATTTCACAATCTGGTAGGGTGCATGAGAAGGAAAGAGTGCATGATGAGGGAGTCAGGAGCAACCTCCTACCAGGCCCCACCTCTTAAAGGCCCCACCACCTCTCAACATCTTCAAGCTGGGGACCATGCTTCCAGCACATGAAGCTTTGGGAGATGAATCACATCCTATCCATAACATGTAGTATGCTTAGAAATCATCTACCCTGACCCCAAGTATTTTTATGACTCCTTTTTTTGGAACCCAGAGTCTTGTGCATGCCAGGCAGTGCACTGCCACTGAGCTACATCCCCAGCCCTGATTCCTTTTTCTTTTCTTTTTTTATTTTTTTGGTGGGACTGAGGTTTGAACTCAGGGATTCACACTTGCAAAGCAGGCACTCTACCACTTGAGCCACACCTCCAGTCCATTTTTCTTTGGAGATAGAGTCTCTTGAACTGTTTGCCCAGGTTGGCCATAAACTGTGATCTTCCTGATCTCAGCCTCCCAAGCAGCAAAGATTACAGGTGTGAGCCTTAGTGCCTGGCTCTTTGTTCTTTATTTATCATTACAATTTTGGGCC